CAACAACAAGCAACACTCAAACATGGCGGAGGATAAACGAGGAGAATCAATCTCCAAGAGAAAACGCGACTCCTCGACGGATACAAATGATTTATGCTTTTCACCACTGGGACTGGTAAGTGTGGAAAGTGATCTGTTGAAGTAGATAAATGACAAACTGGGCATACTAGAGTTGGTCAGTAAAGATGAAAATGTATGCACTCACTAACTGTAAGTCGCTCTGGATAAGAGCGTCTGATAAATGACTAAAATTTAAATGTAAAGGAGTTGAAGGCGAGTCTTGAAATGAGTGATGAAAAAGCTGCGATAATGGAGAAAGAAAAAAAAAAAAAAAAAAAGCTAAAAGGGACAGTCACTAAGATAGAAACGGACGTTAAGGAACTTAAAAAGGAGAACAACTTTCTGAGAGAAGCCTTACTAGACATGCAGACTATATCGATGAGAGAAAATCTAGTACTTACGGGTATCCAAGAAAAAGGAGAGGTTACCGAAAAAATTGTGAAGGACTTCTGTCTTACAGCGCTTCAAATCCCACTCGATGTTTGTCGATAAAATCCAACTCAACGTGTACACCATTTCGGACAAAGAGGACAGAGATATGAGCGTCCAATCATTGCCAAATTTGCTTTCTTTAAGGATAAAGTAATGGTTAAAAGTTTAAGTACAATACTTGCTGGCACGAAAATAGGCATGAATGATCAGTTCCCGAGGGAGATTGCAGAACGGCGCTAAGTTCTGTACCCAATCTTCAAGGAAAATAGATTAAAAGGGAAGCGTGTTGCTCTCGTAGTCGATAAACTGTATATTGACAACCAAATGTTCCGCGACACTGACTACTCCATGGCTATTCTGAAAGTTCTAATAGAGGAGTCGAATAATGGAACACCCAATACTAGCCATGGTAGGGATTGTAATAATAAAACACATTTATAGTATTTTATAAAGGGATAAGACGGTATTACAAGAAAGGATAACAAGCGAAATAATACATCTTCAAATATAACTAATTAGAACACAAGTACTCAATCAACATAGTGGAGATAAAAACATAGCAAACAGAAGACAAATAAGTAGCTCCTGAGTGGCGCAGTGGTCTAAGGCACTGCATCGCAGTGCAAACTGTGCCACTAGAGATCCTAGTTCGAATCCAGGCTCTGTCGCAGCCGGCCGCGACCGGGAGACCCATGGGGCGGCGCACAATTGGCCCAGCGTCGTCCAGGGTAGGGGAGGGAATGGCCGGCAGGGATGTAGCTCAGTTGATAGAGCATGGCGTTTGCAACGCCAGGGTTGTGGGTTCGATTCCCACGGGGGGGCAAGTATAAAAAAAAAATATATGTATTCACTAACTGTAAGTCGCTCTGGATAAGAGCGTCTGCTAAATGACTAAAATGTAAATGTAATAGAAGGCACTGTATGTGTGGATGTATTGTGATGGAAGGTGTGGTGTTCGTTTTTGTGTTTGGAAAAGTGTGGTGTTAAGTGAGTGAGAAAGGAAATGGTTGCATATCCCAGAACCAACGTGTGTCTGTGAGCAGGGGTTGTGAGAGAGAGCTTTCAATTTTGTGCAGATGAGGGATATACATTTTGAATCTAATCAATTTTTTTATTGTCATATCATGATGGAATGGTCCCCAATGCTATATCTTAGACACCCACCTGAGTGACCCATACACCAAAGAGAAGTCCCCATCTGTTTTATGGCCCTGCTGTAAGTTGCCTATATGCAGCCAAAACAGAAAGATAAATGCAGTCAGAAACCTACTAGAGCAGCACCGCCCCCTCAAGATTCTGATCCTGCCTGGCAGGGTTGGTCCTACAAAGCCAGAGCCCCCTGATGGGAGAGCATAAGAACATGAGAACCTTGAGGACCTTGTACCTAGCCGGTGGGGATTCCGGTGGGGTATCCCCACCCAGGTAGTGGCAGTGCTGGCAACACTGGCTGCAGTAACCTATGGGGAGGGGGTCACACTCGGACAATCAGAGAGGGGGCATATTATTGTGGCCCTGGTGGCACAAAATAATCAAAGGTCTGACTGCACGGAGATGCTTGGGAAAAATGGTTACATCACCTAGGACTTGACATAGGTTAATCAAATCTCAAATTTTTGTCAATTTTTGCTCAATCTTGCATGCTTTCTCAAACAGCTGTAACTGTACAGTTGAAGTTGGAAGTTTACATACACTTAGGTTGGAGTCATTAAAACTCCACTCCACAAATGTCTTGTTAACAAACTATAGTTTTGGCAAGTCGGTTAGGACATCTACTTTGTACATGACACAAGTAATTTTTCCAACAATTGTTTACAGACAGATTATTTCACTTATAATTCACTGTATCACAACTCCAGTGGGTCAGAAGTTGACTGTACCTTTAAACAGCTTGGAAAATTCCAGAAAATGATGTCATGGCTTTAGAAGCTAATTGACATAATTTGAGGTGTACCTGTGGATGTATTTCAAGGCCTACCTTCAAACTCAGTGCCTCTTTGCTTGACATCATGGGAAAATCAAAAGAAATCAGCCAAGACCTAAGAAAAAAAAATGGTAGACCTCCACAAGTCTGGTTCATCCTTGGGAGCAATTTCCAAACGCCTGAAGGTACCACGTTCATCTGTACAAACAATAGTACGCAAGTAGAAACACCATGAGACCACGCAGCCGTCATACCGCTCAGGAAGGAGACGCGTTCTGTCTCCTAGAGATGAATGTACTTTGGTGCGAAAAGTGCAAATCAATCCCAGAACAACAGCAAAGGACCTTGTGAAGATGCTGGAGGAAACAGGTACAAATGTATCTACAGTGGGGAGAACAAGTATTTGATACACTGCCGATTTTGCAGGTTTTCCTACTTACAAAGCATGTAGAGGTCTGTAATTTGTATCATAGGTACACTTCAACTGTGAGAGACGGAATCCAGATTTTTTTTCTCCAGAAAATTACATTTACATTTTAGTCATTTAGCAGACGCTCTTATCCAGAGCGACTTACAGGAGCAATTAGGGTTAAGTGCCTTGCTCAGGGACATTTACGTCATTAGCCGACGCTCTTATCCAGAGCGCTACAATTGTGCATACCCTATAGCCAGTGGGATAACACTTTACAATTATTATTATTATTAGTATTTATTTATTATTTTATTTTTTTTTGGGGGGGGGGGGGGGGGTAGAAGGATTACTTTATCCTATCCCAGGTGTTCCTTAAAGAGGTGGGGTTTCATCATTTGTATGATTTTTAAGTAATTAATTTGCATTTTATTGCATGACATAAGTATTTGATACATCAGAAAAGCAGAACTTAATATTTGGTACAGAAACCTTTGTTTGCAATTACAGAGATCATACGTTTCCTGTAGGTCTTGACCAGGTTTGCACACACTGCAGCAGGGATTTTGGCCCACTCCTCCATACAGACCTTCTCCAGATCCTTCAGGTTTCAGGGCTGTCACTGGGCAATACGGACTTTCAGCTCCCTCCAAAGATTTTCTATTGGGTTCAGGTCTGGAGACTGGCTAGGCCACTCCAGGACCTTGAGATGCTTCTTACGGAGCCACTCCTTAGTTGCCCTGGCTGTGTCTTTCGGGTCGTTGTCATGCTGGAAAACCCAGCCACGACCCATCTTCAATGCTCTTACTGAGGGAAGGAGGTTGTTGGCCAAGATCTCACGATACATGGCCCCATCCATCCTCCCCTCAATATGGTGCAGTCGTCCTGTCCCCTTTGCAGAAAAGCATCCCCAAAGAATGATGTTTCCACCTCCATGCTTCACGGTTGGGATGGTGTTCTTGGGGTTGTACTCATCCTTCTTCTTCCTCCAAACACGGCGAGTGGAGTTTAGACCAAAAAGCTCAATTTTTCTCTCATCAGACCACATGACCTTCTCCCATTCCTCCTCTGGATCATCCAGATGGTCATTGGCAAACTTCAGACGGGCCTGGACATGCGCTGGCTTGAGCAGGGGGACCTTGCGTGCGCTGCAGGATTTTAATCCATGACGGCGTAGTGTGTTACTAATGGTTTTCTTTGAGACTGTGGTCCCAGCTCTCTTCAGGTCATTGACCAGGTCCTGCCGTGTAGTTCTGGGCTGATCCCTCACCCTCATGATCATTGATGCCCCACGAGGTGAGATCTTGCATGAAGCCCCAGACTGAGGGTGATTGACCGTCATCTTGAACTTCTTCCATTTTCTAATAATTGCGCCAACAGTTGTTGCCTTCTCACCAAGCTGCTTGCCTATTGTCCTGTAGCCCATCCCAACCTTGTGCAGGTCTACAACTTATCAACAACTACAGGAAGCATTTGGTTGGAGTCATTGCAGCTAAAGGTGGCACAACCAGTTATTGAGTGTAAGGGGGCAATTACTTTTTCACACAGGGGAATTGGGTGTTGCATAACTTTGTTTATGAAATAAATATGTAATTGTTGTGTTAATTGTTCACTTATGTTCCCTTTATCTAATATTACGTTTTGGTTGAAGATCTGATAACATTCAGTATCACAAATATGCAAAAGTAGAGAAAATTAGAAAGGGGGCAAATACTTTTTCATAGCACTGTAACTCTGACTCAATAGTAGTCTATATGTTGTAATGTACATCGCAGTGGTCTAAGGCACTGCATCGCAGTGCTAACTGTGCCACTAGAGATCCTGGTTCGTATCCAGGCTCTGTCGCAGCCGGCCGCGACCGGGAGACTCATGGGCGGCGCACAATTGGCCCAGCGTCGTCCAGGGTAGGGGAGGGAATGGCCGGCAGGGATGTAGCTCAGTTGATAGAGCATGGCGTTTGCAACGCCAGGGTTGTGGGTTCGATTCCCACGGGGGGCCAGTATAAAAATATATGTATTCACTAACTGTAAGTCGCTCTGGATAAGAGCGTCTGCTAAATGACTAAAATGTAAATGTAAAATGTACATGCAATAGATGTCAGAAGTCTGAATAGATGTGTTTTGCTGTGGGCAGATCCTGGAGCTGCTGGTGCAGAGAGACAGAGCATTCCAGGAGCTGATGAGGGTGGCCCAGGAGCAGGGCAAGGTGCACCAGGAGATGCAGGTCCTGGAGAAGGAGGTGGAGAAGAGAGACAGCGACATCCAGCAGCTCCAGAAACAGCTGAAGGAGGCAGAACATATACTGGTGAGTACAGCGGAGCTGAGGAAAAATGAGAAATCCTAAAGAGACTATAAAATGGGTCACCTTTTAATAGGCAATTGGAACAAAACAGCACTTTGTTTCTGACTTTGATTCAACCTAACCTTTTTACCCAAACCTCTCTTCTAGGCGACTGCTGTATACCAAGCAAAGGAGAAGCTGAAATCTATTAATAAGGCCAAAAAAGGTGAGCCTGATTTTCACAGCATTTGTCTGAGTAGCCGGAGAACTTTATGATAAATACAACCAGAGATAATACATGAAACTAAAAGTACTGTTGTCTTTCAGGGAGTATCTCCTCAGAAGAGATCATCAAATATGCCCACAGGATCAGTGCCAGCAATGCAGTCTGTGCCCCTCTCAACTGGGTACCAGGTATGTCATGTTTCTGCCCATTTGAGCTTCTGTTATACTGTCTTCAATGCCCTCTATTACCCTATTTTTCAATCCCCATCAAAGCTGTGACTGGCATTCACAATACTACTGTAATTACTCTTCAATCAACTTGATGGCATATTCCTTATAACAGGTGATCCACGTAGACCTTACCCCACTGACCTGGAGATGCGCAGTGGAATGTTGGGTCACATGAGCAACCTGCCAACCAATGGCGTGAATGGACACCTCCCTGGAGATGCACTGGCAGCTGGGAGATTGCCAGGTATGCTTTCGGTTTGTGTGGTTCCTCCTTTCGACAAATGGAATCAACTGTTTTTGTCTTCTCCTATGATCTGTGTGTTTGATATGTTTCTGTGAAGTATACTGTAATACTAACCCTATCACTGTTTAATTACTCTTTCTTCCCTCCCCTCATCAGATGTGCTCACCCCCCAGTACCCCTGGCAATCGTCAGATGTCTCAGTGGGCATGCTCCCCCCTCACCATGGCAACGACTTTGGGCTGGAGCCCCCCGGCCACAACAAGGAGAATGAGGACGACGTGGAGGCCATGTCTACAGACTCATCCAGCAGCAGCAGCGACTCTGACTAAGTGTGTGTGTGTCTGTCTTTTCTCTGTCTGACTGTGTGTGTGTGTGTGTGTCTGTCTGCCCATCTGTGGGTGTATATCTGACTCTGTTTTGGGAATTGGACACAACCAGTACCCCGTAGAGCCAGCTATCCATCACACCCATAACATTTACGATAAGCCACAGTTGATACAGGGTTAGCTATCCGATATAGCAAACAACTACTTCAGAGAATATTGAGAGATACTCATCTCACGGTCTTGTTTTTCTCTGACCCTCTCTATTCCTGCCTTGTTGATGAGACATTTGTACAACACTATCTGTGATCCCCAATGTAATATCACCAGCTCTCTGTAAAGTCCATTGTATCAGTTCAGGGGTGTATTCATTAGTCAGATTCCATTGCAAAACGTTTGGTCTGTTGTAACGGAAAAGTTTACTCACAAACGGAAAACGTTTTTCAATGAAAACAAACATTTCTATTGGACACATTTGGGTAGGTCCCTCCCCGTTTTGTTTGCTTCCTAGAGTAAACGGTTTCCATTGCAAAAGGTTTTGCAACAGAATCCAACTAATGAATACACCCCAGGGAAATGTCTGGTAGTACGTGACTCTGATAACACTGACATGTTCCTTTCGTTGTCTATCAGGTTACCCTTCATTTGTTTATTTTCTGTTTTTTGGCAGAAATGGGGATTAGTGTTGAAAAGTATATGTGCCTTTGTGTAGGATGTAATATAACAGTTTTTAATTTACTTGTTATTTGTTGCTGATTTGAACCCAAGTGCTCCTTATCGCCTCTGCTATTGGTGAAAACATGTCTTGAGTGGATTTAGAATTTGTAGGTGCACTTGATTCAACTTACCCGAGTTAACACTTTTAAGAAAATAAAGTAAAAACTGCTTATATCAGGCAAGATTCATCAAGCACACCTTGTATTCTTTATATTGAAAGCCTGCATATTAATTGACTGATGACTGGTTGATCCATGTGTAAATAGATCTGTATATACTGTAGGTTTTTCCAGCCTTGTAAATAAATACAACTTTTGAGTAAATACGTTTGTGTGGTGCTGATATCTTTGAAGATACCATTTTGAAAGGACATGATATTGTTTTAAGTTTGCGTAATATCGTGTTGACTTGACCATATGTATTTATTAATAGCCTTGTCTTCAAATTGTAAGGACCATGGAATGTGCACCAAGCCTGTGCAAGGGGCGCTCAGGCGCTTGGTTTACTAGGTCACTACGCATGCGCCCAACTTCTCGTTTGCTTCAGAGAAGTTAACATGGCGGCGTCCCTGATTTGTGGCCGATTGTCGGCTAGCCTGAGAAATTCTGGGGCCAGATCGAAACTTACTACTGCATCCAAGGTAAGTGTACGTTGGGGGGAAAAGGGGACGAAATCCGGATGCCTGGAGCTGTGATTATTTTTCTGCTGCACCATCTTCGACGTCCAAACTTCCCCAAAAAGAGACTGGGTCAAATTTGACATTCGTTCATCTCCATTGAGGCTGCTAGGACTCTGGCTATGCTAGCTAGACATTACTAATGTTTATCTCATTATCTAGCTAGTTACTTTCACTTGCTAGCGATGGCAAGATTCATGTATTAATAAACAACTAAATGTATTTAAAGACAAGCCCTTTTGGTGGTTCAGGGATTTGCGTTTGCTAACAAGAGTTTTTCGCTCACATAGTGACCTCCAACACACATAGCGCCGACGTCAGAACGGGATGAATGGAGGCTATGCGACATCGAGGCTGTCGGCATCTGAGATTTAGCTAAATAGGTTAGCTACAATAGCCAGCTAGCTAACTGTCAGATTTATAAGGGTTAGTGGGACTTTTTACATTCGAGAAAAGGTTTTGGTGTCGACAGAATGATTCAATTGACGCCCAAATGACATGTTTGATGTGTTCCTCTTTCATATCCGCAAACTTCCTGTATTGACACATCTATTCCACATTTTTGTTGTGTGTCTGTGTGCCCTCTTTTGTATGGATGTAACAATTCTCATTCAATGTCCTTGCACAGACTATGAACTCCCCCTGACATGAGTAGGTACTGTCATGTCACTGCATCACTAGTGTTCTCTCTCTCCTCTACCCCCCCCTCCTCCCTCTCCCCTCTCTCAAGGTGCTGGGTGGTTCCTCCGGCCTGCTTGGGCCTCAGCAGCAGTCCCCCCACCTGCAGCAGCAGCAGAGGAACCTCTCCCTGCATGAGTACATGAGCATCGGCCTGCTCAAAGAGGCTGGCGTCTGTGTGCCCGAGGGCAAGGTGGCCAGCTCACCCAATGAGGCCTACTCTGTTGCCAAGGAGATTGGTAATCCATAGGCTAATAGGATGTGGGCAAATTGATTGCAGTAGACTAAATTGGTGATAAACCCTTTGAATTGACAGTATGCCTATATTATGTCAGACCAGGTAGTAGTGAGTCTGGTTACTTTCTACATAAAATCTTAATTGTTGTTCGACTGAGTCAGGTATGGTCTGAGAGTGGGACGTACACTGTAATCTAGGGATGTCCCAGTATAATAATAATATAATATGCCATTTAGCAGATGCTTTTATCCAAAGTGACTTACAGTCATGCGTGCATACATTTTTGTGTATGGGTGGTCCCGGGGATCGAACCCACTACCTTGGCGTTACAAGCGCCGTGCTCTACCAGCTGAGCTACAGAGGACCACCAGTATCATTGTAGTGCCATACTGAGAGCTCCGATAGAATGGCTGGAAGATCATAATACCTCATAAGAATTCAAAAGGCAGAAAGACAGTAGGGCCGGGACGATACCAGGATCACGATACTCTTTAGTATCGTGGCAAGGAAACAAAACAAGAAGCGGATTTGACTTCTTTAGGAAAACAGCCCTAATGTTGTTTGTCATCGACGGTCACATTTATTTATTTTCCAAGCTATAGCACACAATATTTTACATACCGCAGGTTTTTAAAGGACCAAAGAGTTTGGTCTGCTTCATGTTTTCATTTTTTCCATGGAAAAAAATATTGCCATACTGGTATTGTCACAGCACTAAAAGACGTATTTTTTTCTTCTTCTATATATTCTTTAGTTTACGAGCTATGACTGCTATCGATATCTAGGGGTGCTTCACTGAGTGCTCACATCCCAAAATATACACATTTCACCTCATGACCATTACGCACATGACGCATGGTGGGTGTAAAATTATTCACTTTGATTCACTTTTGCGCATAGTCAATCATAATCAGTTACACTACATGACCAAAAGTATGTGGACACCATCTCATTCCAAAATCATGGGCATTAATATAGAGTTTGTCCCCCCTTTGCTGCTATAACAGCCTCCACTCTTCTGGGAAGGCGTTCCACTAGATGTTGGAACATTGCTGCGGGGACATTCAGCCACAAGAGCATTAGTGAGGTCGGGCACTGATGTTGGGCGATTAGGCCTGGCTCACAGTCAGCGTTCCAATTCATCCCAAAGGTGTTCGATGGGGTTGAGGTCCGGGCTCTGTGCAGGCCAGTCAGTTTCTTCCACACCGATCTCGCTTTGTGCACGGGGGCATTGTCATGCTGAAACAGGAATGGGCCTTCCCCAAACTGTTGCAACAAAGTTGGAAGCACAGAATCGTCTAGAATGTCATTGTATGCTGTAGCATTAATATTTCCCTTCACTGGAACTAAGGGGCCTAGCCCGAACCATGAAAAACAGGCCCAGACCAAACGTTACAGTTGGCACTATGCATTGGGGCAGGTAGTGTTCTCCTGGCATCCACCAAACCCAGATTTGTCTGTTGGACTGCCAGATGGTGAAGCGTGATTTATCACTCCACAGAACACGTTTCCGCGCATGGTGATTTTAGGCTTGTGTGCGGCTGCTCGGCCATGGAAACACATTTCATGAAGCTCCCGAGGAACAGTTCTTGTGCTGATGTTGCCTCCAGAGGCAGTTTGGATCTCGGTAGTGAGTGTTGCAACCGAGGACAGACAATTTTTACGCGCTACGCACTTCAGCGGTCCCGTTCTGTGAGCTTGTGTGGCCTACCACTTCGCAGCTGATCTGTTGTTGCTCCTAGATGTTTCCACTTCACAATAATAGCAGCTCTAGCAGGGCAGACATTTGACGAGCTGACTTGTTGGAAAGGTGGCATCCTATGACTGTGCCATGTTGAAAGTAACTGAGCTCTTCAGTACGGGCCATTCTACTGCCAGTGTTTGTCTATGGAGATTGCATGGCGGTGTGCTCGATTTTATACACCTGTCAGCAACCACAAATTTGAAGTGGTGTCCACATACTTTTGAATATATAGTGTACATATGGTCATAAAGGTTTATATACATACAAATTGGTCTGAGTTAAAACCTAGGCTGTAGATACTGTATAATTATAGTGACCTATTACTTTTTTTTTTTTTTACTTTCGTAGATTATTTGATTTAAATTTAAAACAATTTGTAGCCTGAAAAGTCGGGACACCTGAAATGGGCTGAAACTGTCCCGGAAAAACAGGATGGTCACCCTAATACACAAGGTCAACTTACTAAACTAGTCTACAATGTGTATTACCATGAACTTCAAATAGGCCTACCGGTAGACAGTTGTGTGTTAGAATCTGAAGGATCTGGAGAGATTCTGTATGGAGGAATGGTCTCAGATCCCTTGCCATGTGTTCTCCAACCTCATTACGCATTATAGGAGAACTCAGAGCTGTTATCTTGGCAAAGGAAGGTTGCACAAAGTATTGAATGAAGGGGTGCCAATAATTGTGGCACACATATATTTGAGAAAATTATTTGTTTTATGCTAATTTCTTCTTTAAGGTGGGTAAATGGCATTTACCCTCCACTAGACCTACACCACCGGCGGTAGCTTACCCTCTCAGCCAAGGCAATTTTAAACACATGAAAACACGCAGAATAGGTATCCTACATTCAATATAATATATGAGTTGAAGCAAAACATGTTTTACACCCTAGTTCACGAGTTCTCCATAATTCATGAGTTAATGCTTGGAGTCTTCACAAATCGTGTGACATAAAACACTACCTTTCTTCTTTCCTTACATTAATGACATTTTATGAGTGTTTGTCATTATTAAGCATTGAACTTAAACCCTTTACGAATTATGGATCTTGAAGATCTTGGAAAATGCACTGTAAATGAAACTATGCCTACGTAAAATGTAATTATGTTTCGCTGTGAAAACCATTCTCATGGGCACATACATCCCAAATAATGTAGGCCTATGTCATTGCAAAATCGAATGCTTCTAACCGAAAGAGTCAACAATTGGCCTACTTTCATTAATGTATACTATTAACGTATACTTGTTGGATGGATTAGTGGTGTCTAGCTGTGGACTAGTTGTCTAGTGATATTGTCGACCATCATCAGCTGATCCAGGAAAGAAAACAAATATTGATAGAAAATAATGACGCTAAATAAATGGTCTACTACTTCTGGCCTCGGATGGCACGGAGAATGCGCACACCTGAAAAACAAAGCAATGAGTGCTCTAAACAGCTGACTGACAAAAGCAAATAATGATAAATCAACGGATAAATTGAATGCATTGGAATAAAGGCTATTGTTATCAAGGACACAATGCAAAGAAATTGCGAAAATTAGGAAGTATGCCTACAAAGGAAAATCTATGCGTGAAGGAGCTTAGGCCAAAATTCAGCATTACTGGATGGACAGTGCCGCCACATAGAAATAAATGGTTTAAACCATGACAGAGAGGTGGGGGTGTTCGTTTCATTGGGATATTTTCATATTTACCACTGTAAAACATATTTACCACTGCATTTTAAACAAATAAGAGAATTGTTAAATTAGCATTATTTAGAGACCCCCCTCAAAGTTGGACTTTTATTGCATTTAAGGGAGCTAATGTCTCATTCAGGGGAGCTAAGCCCCCCCCACGGCTCCCCCGTAATTCGCACCATGATGTATATAATCTTATATGACCATATCTACCTCTGTGATTAATTATGATTGACTATTGAAGTTAAATGTTTCCACACCCAGTGTGATTAGTGGTGAATAGTGAAATGTGTATATTTTGGGATGTGAGCACAGTCTGTTTGACCTGACGAAGATCCGTTTCGGATTGAAACATTTTCAACAAAGCGGTGAATTGGGAGCGTAAACAGTGTGCCGGCCTTCTTGTTATTTACTAGTATTCTTTATTATCCCAGCACCTAAGTTAAGGATGTGCGTATGACCACAAACTTTTCTAATGAGTAGGGCTAAATGATTCACTAAGTACTCAATGCTAACACAATTTGTTTGGTGGTTGTGGATACAGATTAACTTGACAACATTAGCCTAGTCATTTAGGGCCTTATGAGTGCATACTTCTGCTAAAATGGTTGTGTTAGACAGTGTTTACACTGACGATGTTTTGTGCAGTTTGTTACACACATTATCTCTGTGTATAAGTGGAATGTTGGGCATGTCTGTAACGGTTACTGTCTCTCGCTCTCTCTGTGTGTGTGTCTTAGGCACCAAGGATCTGGTGGTGAAGGCCCAAGTGTTGGCTGGAGGCCGAGGCAAAGGCACATTCGAGGGAGGGCTGAAGGGAGGAGTGAAGATTGTCTACTCGTGAGTGTCCGAGACATCTCCTCTCAAACTGCACCCACACTTCTACTCTGTCTTTATTATTCTCCCCCTCTCTTACAGGCCAGAGGAGGCCCGGGACATCTCCTCACAGATGATTGGCCGTAAACTGTACACCAAGCAGACAGGCGAGCAGGGTCGTATCTGTAACCAGGTGTTCATCTGTGAGCGCAGGTACCCCCGCAGGGAGTACTACTTCGCCATCACCATGGAGAGATCCTTCCAGGTGAGGCCATTCTCTGCCCCTTCGCCTCTCAGGTGACAACAGGTGACACCGTCAGATTTGACAAATTGGGCAGTTGTGATTTAAGAATGTTGGATGTTACCACTAGATGGTGTAGTGGTAAAGGACATGGGTATGGACATGTTGGAAACGCTTGTGCTCCATGGGACTTGGTTGTCCTGCTGTATGCAGTTATAGTTCTGTTCATTCAAAAGGATAATGAGACCAGTTGTCATTGAGAAATGGATTAGTTAAATGTATGATATTGCTGTGAGAATTATGTTCATTTAATTTGCTCCGTTTCAGTTTGATTGCCACTTGCCACTCAATGACGGTGTAAAATTATTGGTACTAATAATCTCTCGGCCCCTCCCGCTGCACAGGGCCCCGTGTTGATTGGCAGCTCTCAGGGGGGTGTGAACATTGAGGATGTGGCGGCGGAGAATCCCGACGCCATCGTGAAGGAGCCAATCGACATCATGGAGGGAATTAAGATGGAACAGGCTGTTTCGGTACAGTTGGGATCGGGTTGTAAAAATACCTCGTCAGACAGTACAGAGCGCATGTCAAACTCTTGATGTGACTTTGTCTCTTAGATCACAGAAAAACTACACTCTTAAACAATACTCAACCTGAATTTAAAGATCTGTATCTATTTTGGAGCATGTTTAAACAAACGACTTGTGGCAACATTTACTGTATATTAATATTTGGTCTGTCTCGAGTTTCTCTCTTAAGACAAGGGCCCCAGAAGCCTCAGAAGGCCTCAGAATTGTTAGTTATCCCCTCATGCAATGTCTTTCGAAGTCAGTATTGACTTTGATACAGTCTGTGATGCTCATTCAACATGCCATCTCACTCACTACATGTTACTTAGAGTGCCTGCAATGTTGCCATGAATTGACCGCCTGTCTCTCACATTCACTCTACCTCTTATTGTGTTTTGTTCCTCCTCTCCCTCACGTCCTCTCACCTTCAATTGAATTCAAAAGTGTTTTACAAGCTGGGAATACATTTGTTAGTGTTGCCGAAGTATATATATTTTTTCGCTCTCTCATTCGGTCTCTCACATTTTCTCTCTCTCCGCTTTCTCTCTCTCCAGATTGCCACGAAGATGGGCTTCCCTGCTGCTCTGATCGACGACGCAGCGGCTAACATAATCAAGCTGTACAATGTCTTCATGAAGTATGATGCCTCCATGCTAGAGATCAACCCCATGGTGGAGGATGCCTCTGGCCAGGGTACACACACACATTTGCTTTCAAATCAAATCAAATTTTATTGGTCACATACACGTGTTTAGCAGATGTTATTGCGGATGTAGCGAAATGCTTGTGTTTCTAGCTCCGACAGTGCAGTAATATCTAACAAGTAATATCTAACAATTTCACAACATATACTCAGTACACACAAATCTTAAGTAAAGCAAAGGAATTAAGAATACAGTTGAAGTCGGAAGTTTACATACAATTAGGTTGGAGTCATTAAAACTCGTTTTTCAACCACTCCACACATTTCTTGTTAACCAACTATAGTTTTAGCAAGTTGGTTAGGACATCTACTTTGTGCATGACACAAGTAATTTTTCCAACAATTGTTTATAGACAGATTATTTCACTTATAATTCACTGTATCACAATTCCAGTGGCTCAGAAGTTTACATACACTAAATTGACTGTGCCTTTAAACAGCTTGGGAAATTCCAGAAAATGATGTCATGGCTTTAGAAGCTTCTGATAGGCTAATTGACATAATTTGAGTCAATTGGAGGTGTACCTGTGGATGTATTTCAAGGCCTACCTTCAAACTCGGTGCCTATTTGCTTGACATCATGGGAAAATCAAAAGAAATCAGCCAAGACCTCAGAAAAAACATTGTAGACCTCCACAAGTCTGGTTCATCCTTGAGAGCAATTTCCAAACGCCTGAAGGTACCACGTTCATCTGTACAAACAATAGTACGCAAGTATAAACACCATGGGACCACGCAGCTGTCATACCGCTCAGGAAAGAGACGCGTTCTGTCTCCTAGAGATGAACGTACTTTGGTGCGAAAAGTGCAAATCAATCCCAGAACAACAGGACCTTGTGAAGATGCTGGAGGAAACAGGTACAAAAGTATCTATTTCCACAGTAAAAACGAGTCCTATATCGACATAACCTGAAAGGCCGCTCAGCAAGGAAGAAGCCACTGCTCCAAAACCGCCATAAAAAAGCCAGACTACGGTTTGCAACTACACATGGGGACAAAGATCGTACTTTTTGGAGAAATGTCCTCTGGTCTGATGAAACAAAAATAGAACTGTTTGGCCATAATGACCATCGTTAAGTTTGGAGGAAAAAGGGGGTTCTTGCAAGCCGAAGAACACCATCCCAACCGTGAAGCACGGGGGTGGCAGCATCATGCTGTGGGGGTGCTTTGCTGCAGGAGGGACTGGTGCACTTCACAAAATAGATGGCATCATGAGGAAGGAAAATTATGTGGATATTTTGAAGCAACATCTCAAGACATCAGTCAGGAAGTTTAAGCTTGGTCGCAAATGGGTCTTCCAAATGGACAATGACCCCAAGCATACTTCCAAAATTGTGGCAAAATGGCTTAAGGACAACAAAGTCAAGGTATTGGAGTGGCCATCATAAAGACCTGACCTCACCCTATAGAACATTTGTGGGCAGAACTGATAAAGCGTGTGCGAGCAAGGAGGCCTACAAACCTGACTCAGTTACACCAGCTCTGTCAGGAGGAATGGGCCAAAATTCACCCAACTTATTGTGGGAAGCTTGTGGAAGGCTACCCGAAACGTTTGACCCAAGTTAAACAATTTAAAGGCAATGCTACCAAATACTAATTGAGTGTATGTAATGAAATAAAAGCTGAAATAAATCATTCTCTCTACTATTATTCTGACATTTCACATTCTTAAAATAAAGTGGTGATCCTAACTGACCTAAGACAGGGAATTTTTACTAGGATTAAATGTCAGGAATTGTGAAAAACTGAGTTTAAATGTATTTGGCTAAGGTGTATGTAAACTTCCGACTTCAACTGTATATTAATAAGTATTTTTAATGCATTTATTTGCAATTATGGTGGAAAATAAGTATTTGGTCAATAACAAAAGTTTCTCAATACTTTGTTATATACCCTTTGTTGGCAATGACACAGGTCAAACGTTTTCTGTAAGTCTTCACAAGGTTTTCACACACTGTTGCTGGTATTTTGGCCCATTCCTCCATGCAGATCTCCTCTAGAGCAGTGATGTTTTGGGGCTGTCGCTGGGCAACACGGACTTTCAACTCCCTCCAAAGATTTTCTATGGGGTTGAGATCTGGAGACTGGCTAGGCCACTCCAGGACCTTGAAATGCTTCTTACAAAGCCACTCCTTCGTATTCCGGGTGGTGTGTTTGGGATCATTGTCATGCTGAAAGACCCAGCCACGTTTCATCTTCAATGCCCTTGCTGATGGAAGGAGGTTTTCACTCAAAATCTCACGATACATGGCCCCATTCATTCTTTCCTTTACACGGATCAGTCGTCCTGGTCCCTTTGCAGAAAAACAGCCCCAAAGCATGATGTTTCCACCCCCATGCTTCACAGTAGGTATGGTGTTCTTTGGATGCAACTTTGTCCTCCAAACACGACAAGTTGAGTTTTTACCAAAAAGTTATATTTTGGTTTCATCTGACCATATGACATTCTCCCAATCCTCTTCTGGATCATCCAAATGCACTCTAGCAAACTTCAGACGGGCCTGGAAATGTACTGGCTTAAGCAGGGGGACACGTCTTCCACTGCAGGATTTGAGTCCCTGGCGGCGTAGTGTGTTACTGATGGTAGGCTTTGTTACTTTGGTCCCAGCTCTCTGCAGGTCATTCACTAGGTCCCCCCGTGTGGTTCTGGGATTTTTGCTCACCGTTCTTGTGATCATTTTGACCCCACGGGGTGAGATCTTGCGTGGAGCCCCAGATCGAGGGAGATTATCAGTGGTCTTGTATGTCTTCCATTTCCTAATAATTGCTCCCACAGTTGATTTCTTCAAACCAAGCTGCTTACCTATTGCAGATTCAGTCTTCCCAGCCTGGTACAGGTCTACAATTGTGTTTCTGGTGTCCTTTGACAGCTCTTTGGTCTTGGCCATAGTGGAGTTTGGAGTGTGACTGTTTGAGGGTGTGGACAGGTGTCTTTTATACTGATAACAAGTTCAAACAGGTGCCATTAATACAGGTAACGAGTGGAGGACAGAGGAGCCTCTTAATGAATAAGTTACAGGTCTGTGAGAGTCAGAAATCTTGCTTGTTTGTAGGTGACCAAATACTTATTTTCCACCATAATTTGCAAATAAATTCATTAAAAATCCTACAATGTGATTTTCTGGATTTTTTTTCCTCAATTTGTCTGTCATAGTTGACGTGTACCTATGATGAAAATTACAGGCCTCTCTCATCTTTTTAAGTGGGAGAACTTGCACAGTTGGTGGCTGACTAAATACTTTTTTTCCCCACTGTATATGGATGAGCAATGTCAGAGCGGCATAGACTAAGATACAGTAAAATAGTATAGAATACAGTATATACATATGAGATGAGTAATGCAAGATATGTAAATATTATTAAAGTGACTAGTGTTCCATTTGTTAAAGTGGCAGCAGCCTCTAATGTGCTACTTTTCGTTCCCAGTGATGATGTTCGTCACGCCAGTATTAAGAGCTGGGTGAGAGCATTGCCAGTCAGTGTTAAAATCTTAGATCGATGGGAGAAGCCTCCAACTATGACTCACTGTCAATCGATCTATGACCCAGTGAACAATCCTAGTGTGAATCGCAGTACTTTTAAGTGATGGGCCAATTAGGCAGCTAAACCCCATAGTCCTGAAGGAATGAGAGGGTGTTATTGCACAACCAACTGTCATCATCACCATAGCCAACATGGCGGAGTATTGTGGCTGATGAGGGTCAAGTAAGAGGCACTTTTTTAGCTTTGAAATGTGAAAGGCTTTCAAGTGCTTATATGTACTTCTAAAGACTTATGGGCTGAATTAACCAACCCCATACATACCAGAAGAGTTGATTGACAGCAGGAATTGCCAATGATGGCCCTTTGACCCTACTACATCAGCAAACATACACTACATCACCAAAAGTATGTGGACACCCCTTCAAATTAGTGGATTCGGCTATTTCGGCTACACCTGTTGCCACACCTGTTGCTGTTAATTATTTATGCATAGTCACTTTAACTCTACCCACATGTACATATTACTTCAACTACCTCAACTAGCCGGTGCCCTCGCACATTGACTCTGCACCGGTACCCCCCGTGTGTATATATAGCCTCCCTACTGTTATTTTATTTTACTTCTGCTCTTTTTTTCTCTCAACACTTATTTGTTTTATTCTACTTTTTTATTCAAAATAAATGCACTGCTGGTTAAGGGCTGTAAGTAAGCATTTCACTGTAATGTCTGCACCTGTTGTATTCGGTGCATGTGGCCAATCAAATTTGATTTGATTTGACAGGTGTATAAAATTGAGCACACAGCCATCTCCATAGACAAACATTGGCAGTAGAATGGCCTTACTGAAGAGCTCAGTGACTTTCAGAGTGGCACCGTCATAGGATGCCACCTTTCCAACAAGTCAGTTTGTCATATTTCTGCCCTGGTCAACTGTAAGTGCTGTTATTGTGAAGTGGAAACGTCTAGGAGCAACAACAGCTCTACTGCGAAGTGGTAGGCCACACAAACTCACAGAACGGGTCCGCCGAGTGCTGAAGCAGGTAAAAATTGTCTGTCCTCGGTTGCAACACTCACTACAGAGTTCCAAACTGCCTCTGGAAGCAACGTCAGCACAAGAACTGTTCGTGTTCGTCGGGAGCTTCATGAAATGGATTTCCATGGCCAAGCAGCTGCACACAAGCCTAAGATCACCATGCGCAATGCCAAGTGTCGGCTGGAGTGCTGTAAAGCTCGCCGCCATTGGACTGGAGCAGTGGGAACGCGTTCTCTGGAGTGATGAATCACGCTTCACCATCTGGCAGTCTGACGGACAAATCTGGGTTTGGCGGAAGCCAGGAGAACGCTACCTGCCCAAATGCATAGTGCAAACTGTAAAGTTTGGTGGAGGAGGAATAATGGTCTGGGGCTGTTTTTCATGGTTCGGGCTAGGCCCCTTAGTTCCAGTGAAGGGAAATCTTAACGCTACAACATACAATGACATTCTAGACGATTCTGTGCTTCCAACTTTGTGTCAACAGTGTGGGGAAGGTATTTTCCTGTTTCAACATGACAATGTCCCCGTGCACAAAGCGAGGTCCATTTAGAAATGGTTTGTCGAGATCAGTGTGGAAGAACTTGACTGGCCTGCACAGAGCCCTGACCTCAACCCCATCGAACACCTTTGGGATGAATTGGAACACTGACTGTGAGCCAGGCCTAATCGCCCAACATCAGTGCCCGACCTCACTAATGCTCTTGTGGCTGAATGGAAGCAAGTCCCCGCAGCAATGTTCCAACATCTAGTGGAAAGCCTTCCCAGAAGAGTGGAAGCTGTTATAGAAGCAGAAGGGGGACCAATTCCATATTAATGCCCATGATTTTGGAATGAGATGTTCGACGAGCATGTAGTGTATGGCCATGTAGTGGTCTGTCTATCTTATCTATACCTCAACCCACTGAACCCAGATTCATCCTTGACATGTACAGTACAGCCAACAAATGTTACACAGTAAAGCTATGTTACAAAACTAGATAACCTGTTGCACTTTGGACCAGGCATAAGAAAAAGTCCCCTCAAAGTATAAACGGACATCTGCCTCTGGCTGTGTCGTAATGAAGTTACAGGGTTATTGGGTTTGTCGTCCAATGATGATGTCAGCCGTCTTGTGCTCAGCCTCTTCCTCTTGTGTGTTCCTCTGACAGTGATGTGCATGGACGCCAAGATCAACTTTGACTCCAACGCGGCGTACCGCCAAAAGAAAGTGTTTGACATGCAGGACTGGACCCAGGAGGATGCCAGGGACCGACAGGCAGCCAAGGCTGACCTCAACTACATCGGCCTGGATGGATCCATCGGCTGTCTGGGTGAGTGCCAAAACACACTCACCACTGGTTCACTGCACCACACACCTTGCTTTGGTTCACTGTAGTAACAGTAGTGATAGAAATATTTTGTTATTTGTGTATTCATTCTATACACTGTGTGTGCGTGTGCAGTGAACGGGGCTGGTCTTGCCATGGCCACCATGGACATCATCAAGCTGCATGGTGGCACGCCCGCCAACTTCCTGGACGTGGGGGGCGGAGCTACAGCCCACCAGGTGATGGAGGCCTTCAAACTCATCACCTCCGACAGGAAGGTAAGGACTGGGAGTGGGGGACACTTATCACTGTAACTAACACCTCATCTCTTGTGGTCATTGAAGAACCATTAAGCTGCAGTAGGTATTCACTTATCACTGTGGCACCAACAGGCACAGACCTGTCACGTATTCCACAGGCCTTCACCCTGACTTCTAACCCCAACTGGAACGGGATGGCTGGGTATCTGGGTCATGAGCAGCCTGCAGCTTATACTAATTATGTTTTGATGGGGTTAGGGGGTAGTGGTAGGGATTAATTACGAATTCCTGATGTTTGGACCTTCAGGAAGGTTATGGTTATATAAGGTAACTTTTCAGTAGACGCATCCCCTAGTAGGTGTGTCTTTTGACAGACATGTCTGGAGATCTCTAGGATTTCAGTAGGAGAGCCCACTCTGGGGGTGAGGTTTAATACTGGTGGAACCTATGGGGTGACATTTATCTGGGAGATTTTAAATGGAGGATTACTTTAAAAGGAACACCTATGGGTGTACAGGGAGGGTTCTCACCTGCTATGTGACATACAATTAGTAATTCATTCATTTACATAGCCTGATGTATGAGGAGGTTTTTGATAGATGGTTAAAAGCTCTCTGGTGGTAGATTTGTGGTTAATGTTGATGCTAATGATTCTGTTGATGCTATAGGATTAGTAGGTTTTGTTGTTAATAGTGCTGTATGGATTTTGTAATCAAGCCTTGTGATTGCTTGGTTTTGTCTTGTTGCTATGGTCAATATCTTCAGTCATGTTTTCATGGTCAACATCTCTGTTTGTGGTCCTCAGGTGCAGGCCATCCTGGTGAACATCTTCGGCGGCATCATGAGATGTGACATCATCGCTCAGGGCATTATCATGGCTGTTACAGACCTGGACCTGAAGATTCCCATTGTGGTACGGTTACAAGGTGAGACTGACCTCCCTCAGAGTCATCGGCTACCGCACTGACATTTTGGCACTGTCACACAGTGACACACACACAGTGGGCCGTGAGAGAAGGAGGGGGTGACACCAGGACAACAATGGAGCGTGGCCTTTTAAAGGTCAAAGAGCAAGCTGCCTGTCAGGATTAGGCTCTTCTACTACTTCTACACACACACGCATACACACAACCTGTGCTGTGGAACCCTGTAGCTCCCAGCCTTATTCCAGCCTCTCCCTTCTGACAATGTACCAAAACACACAGGGACAAATAGAATGTGTGTATTCATACAGAACTCAATTATTCAGTTAAACTAAATGTAATTGGACTAAAATGATTGCCTTCACAAACAGTTTAGTTACTTACAATGAACTTTCACAAATCATAGACTTCTATTTTACTGTATGTCTTTTTGAGGTTATTATTCCAATCATGTAGCCCAAGTTTATTTTCTTGAGTGGATGATTGTAGACTGCAAATTGACCACAAGATGCCCAAATAGATGTAATATTGAACCTTCCTTACGTGTGTATACTATCACGTCTCCTTTATTATGTGGGGGAATACTTAGGAACAGATTTCCAAAATTAAAATCACTTGGAGCTGATTTCCTGATGTTTTTACAGTCTTATGTCCAACAATGAATATATATATATTTTTAAATATGATTTCTTATTATTAAATAAAACCACCCATGGGCAGCCAGTTGGGGAACCCTGATGTAGCCTATGTATTGTTCAGTCGCCTGCATTCATGCCTTGCATGTATTGAGGCACTTTCTACTTGTATGTATGCAATGCAATAATGATCCCCTACTCTAATATGAAATGTAATTTAGACCACATTTATACCAGAGCGACTTATAGGAGCCTTGCTCAAGGGCACATCGACAGATTTGTTTTACCTAGTTGGCTCAGGGATTCAAACCAGCGACTCAACGCTTTCAACCACTAGGATACCTGCCTCATTATAATAGAACTGAAATGATGAAATATATGAGAGTTTAACACTAATAGTGCAGATAAAAAGCTATATAGAAGAGAACCAAAGAGCTTTGATAAAGAGAGAGGCTAAAGAGAGACTTCTGCTCTGCTGTGTTTCAGGATCCAGAGTGGACGATGCCAAAGCTCTGATCGCTGCTAGCCCACTAAAGCTCTTGGCCTGTGACGATCTGGACGAGGCCGCTAGAATGGTATGACACACACCTCTCTCCCTACCCCCTTGTGCCCCTCTAAGCACCTTGGGTGTTGTGTGTGTTTGGGTACAGTAGGTCCATGTGAATGTGGAAACTAAGGAATGTCAGGCACCGTTTGTGGGGGTCCAGAGTAATGAGGCGTGTGTGAGACAAGGGGCACCAGCAGGGTAGTGTGTGTGTGAATTGGAACTGTCAGGGTATAGTGACCGTTTAAATGCAGCTCATCGCCATCCTGCCTGGCTGAAGTGACACTGCCTGAGATTTCTGGCTTTGATTTCTGGCAGAGCTAGCAGCGGTGGCATTGAGTCAGAGCAGCGGCCCCCTTCTATCCCCTCTCGCTTTCCCTCAACCACTAGTCTGGCTTAGCTCTCACTGACTCCCACCATCTCTCCCCTCCATGCTCTCTTTTTCCTTTTGGAGTGATCTACTCCAAAGAGACAAGCATCAGTTAGCCAGCACAGTGGCAGCTTGGCATGACCACCCCATGGAAATTACATCCCCCCGCAATCAAAACCCTTTTAGCTTTGTTAGTGTTTTTGTCTGTTTTTAAATGAGACAACTTGTGTAGTTCCCTGCTGCTGTTTAGCTCTGTGCTTGTGTTAAACTATCCTCTCTCTCGTTCTCTCTCTCAGGTTGTAAAGCTTTCTGAGATTGTGTCGTTGGCTCAGGAGGCTCATGTGGACATCTCCTTCCAGCTGCCACTCTAAGCCATACCCCTTGACCCTACGACTCCATCTGGACCTAGACACCCCACCCCCAACCACTCGAACAGCAAGAAGAGCCTCTCACTACTGAGCGAATACTCCAATACAACACGGCCCACCAACTTCCCTCTGTTAGCTCTGTTTCTCTTTCTCTGTGGCAAGGCTCCAAAATACACACACGTACATACAACCCTAATGTGGGAATTTTAGCTCTCCTAATCTCTACTTTCCTCCCTCTCTGTTTTGTTAGGTGTGCCAGGGCTAGTGTGTCTTGTCTGTGGCTTGTCTGTTAAAATGCAACACACACACATGCTTTTCAGATCAGACATGGGGGTGCTCCTCCAGATTATTCCAGTATTACTCGCTCTGTTGTCGCTTTCTTTCCGTAAGGAGAGACAATGATTCCTAGTTACTTCCTCTTTACCCTTCTGCCCACCTCGCTCCTTCAGCTCCCAGAATGCATAGCTCTAGTCATAATGCACAACCCCCCAACCTTGCTCTTTTCTTTGAGAGGGAGATGGATAGAAAGACCACTATCTATTTACTGGTACATTTTGGGAGAATTTGTGCTGTCTGTAAAGGTATAGCCAATTCCCCTTAGGCTTCATTCTCCTGGATCAGTGGACTAGAGAGAGTTATGTCACTGTCAGTCATAGCCACCCCCTTTAAATCTCTTTCATCTGCCCCTACAGGAGAGCCTTGTACTGAGTGGTTCTGAGAATGGGAGATGAGATGGGGAAAGTTGCCCTCTATGCAGAATGTAATGTAGCTCATCAGAAGCTAGGGCATAATACTTGAGCTTGTACATTGCTGTTAGAAGGACCTCTCTTATGTCAGTCATTTCATTTCCATGCTATTTTAAATGCATAGCTGGATAAAAGCTTTCTAGTACTCTCGTTTTGAACTAGTAAGAGTTATATTCTTTGTGTGTGTGTGTGTGTGTGTGTGATCTAAACTACTGCCTATCTGGTTGTCAACATGTTTATGTATTAGTATTTTCCTTCCCCTATAAGAGCCTGCTACAGTGTATGTAGTCTGCCACTATGTCATGGGAAAAACCTTTCTCACTTCATATGACAACACAAATGGGGGTGGGCAGTGACCTCCCAACTCAACTGTTAAAAGATTGTAATTAAGTCCTCTCCATATTTCTCTCCCTCCATTCCTCTCTGTTACTCCCCAGCCCTCAGAAATACAGTTATTGTGAGTTGTAAGACATTTATATCTTGTAAATAACGAGACCGCTGTTCTCTTCTGTACAATATTTATGCTTCTCTTGGGGAGTAAAAAAGAATAAATGTGTTTGTTGTCGTGTTTTAGTTTTGCTGCGCTTGTACTTACAATGTGAAAGTTGTCTGCATCTCGTATGGCTGTAGTTAGGTCGTTTGGCAACAAATGACAAAAACAACAGAGGAATTGCTAAAGCACAAATAAATATAAAGACCAGGCTCATGTGATGCCAAAGTAGGTTCTATACTGTGAGACATTAGCATAATAGTGTTAGATTCTTACATTTTCTACATGCCAGACAGTACATGTATTTCAGTTGCATTATAATAAGGATAGTCATTTTGGCTTCTATTTAAATAGCTGTTCTAGCCAATGCGATCATTCGCACAATCATCCTAAAATCACACGAGGTTTTTTGTCTTACAGTAACGTTATTCTATGTGATTATATTCGGCTCTTATGTAGAATACTATCATTTTGTGATCTTGAAGACATTGATTCAGCATTGATGCAACTTTATTAAACGAGCACCATTTGCCAGAGTAGCCTGTTCTCTAGGAGTAGAGCAGAGACTGTGTAAAGAATACCTCACATGCGCAGAAGCTTTGGGGAAGAGGGGTCCAGAAAAGTCAGATCCACAGCCACTCTGTTGCTGGCTGTTTCTGTAAATGTTGAGAAGGAAGATGAAAATGATGTAGGGTCTGTTATCGTTTACTTACTGCTTCAAAAAACACACAGAGCTAGCAGTTGAAGACTGGACTCTGCCTGGCCCTGATATGAATATACTCTATATGTGTCCTTCGTAAACCTGTTCAAACTCGGGATAAGAATATGGGAAGACGGAAGGCAGGAACAAGACAAGACTTATAGAGATGTTTCCCATATTTTAAAGGTAGGGGTATGTCTCTCATGGCTTCATACATGTGATAGTGGCTGCCAGCATAGAAAGCCATTGATGTAAAATGCATGAGATGTCTCATTTCCATATGAAGGTGAACAAATGCTTCGGGTATCATGTAAAATACCTATAGCATACCTGATGATGCTCATGTGTTTCCTGTTCAGGGAAAGTTGCATGTTTGAACATTGAATTCCCTATTTTACATACAGCCTTGGTTCAGTTAACATTGTTCCCCTCCTGCCTTGACCATAGGTTGGCTATGTCAGTGTTGAAAATATCAAAAGCTGACTCTAATCATACAAAGACTCCTGGCATACACCTCTCATTCATACCTGTAAAGAATGATGCCGGCACACACGCCCCTCATCGTAAACACTGCTTTGAAGCCTTTGCAGTAAAAAAAATAATAAATTGATGCAATGGGTGAAAGACGATGTTTCTCTCACTCCTCTAATCGCCCCTCTCCCTCCGTCCTTCCCTCTATCCCCGTTTATACATTTTCTAAATACGTCTGATGTCCTGATCTTGTCCACATTCTGATTGTGCCCATTTGTCGACAGGTGTAGACAATCAAAAGACGCATTGCGATCTGATTGTGGTTAGATCTTCCTGACCACCTCCGGAGGTAGTCAAAGACGCATCTTGTACAGATAGCCTTGAAGTGTAAAAGAATCCTGACAATGAAAGCATACAGATTTGGCCAACTTCACGGTGTTCCCGCCCACCCAGAAAAAAAAGTCACACCGGCCAGTTGAGTTAGTAATTATGGACAATGATAACTCCAGAATTAAGTTCATGGTCTTCATTAAAAACCAAGCCACAGGCCAATCAAAATTAGATGACGCAGAGATATCGCCCCAAATGACAGAAAAAGGGTTCCCACTTCCAATGCCAGAGCATAATTCTGCCAATGTCACTCAAAAGCAAATTAATCTAGGTCAGGCTTCAACTGAGGCCTGCCTTTCTGCCATTTAGTCGGGGGAGGGGCGAATTAAGGCCCTAACCCTAACTCTAGCTTCATATCCACATCCCGGCTCAACCCTAAACCTCAACCCTAACCCTAGCTTCATGCTCCCAGCTCAACCCTAACCCTCGCTTCATCTCCACATCTTGGCTCAACCCTAACCCTAGCTATATCTTGACGCATATCTTTTCGCATTGACTGCAATGTATTGACTTATTCGTCACACCTCAAAAGCTTACCAGACTGACGCTTATCAGTTGGTACCAGGCTGACGAAGAACAGACCCTGACCCCAGACAATGAACACATTTAATGCAGACAAATATCCCCAGACACTTTTATTCAACTGTCTGAACCAACGACTCAGCAAAGAACAGCAACATTAAGTAGACAGTGGAGTGCATTATCCCTGCTTGTCTGCCGGTGCATTCAACTTAACAAAATAAACCCAGACACCTTGGAACATTGTCTCCTAAGCTTGTTGTCCTTATCTGAGGGTATGGAGAAGCAGTGTCACATCTGTCTTTTGAAGTGACATCTCCCATTAGGATAAACTCCTGCTGACTATGTCATAACAGCTGCGTTGTCTCTGAGGAGCTACAGTATTTTCCTGTCTCCTGGTGTCAGAGGTAATCCTAATCGTGCATGGTCACCAGCCTTCTGTTGCTTGGCACACCACGCTCTGTGAGGAGGATCATGGAGTTGTGCCCTAGTCAGCAGACTGAGCTCGATGTGGGATGACGTTTGGTTTCCCAGAGGGCCTAGGTATGCCAGGGTGCCCAGGGAAGCCTTCACGTGGGCTACTCATACCCGTCAGTCAAAGTCAACCTCATTCCCTGTACGTACATGGTGTACTAACTGTGCAGCTTAGTGGCTGGGAGGGAGAGAGGATGTTCTCCTTCTTCTCTGTTCTAGTTATTTTTTTCTTCTCCTCTCACACATCTCTCTTTTTCACCCCCACCCCCATATACACAATCTCTCCCTTTCCATTTCAATCTCTCACTCCTCCATTCTCTGTCCCTCTGTGTGTATGTCTCCCCCTCTCCAGTGCTACATGACAGGAGTGTATACATCTCTATGGGTAAACTCTGCTGGGGGTGAGTGATGGTGGCATAGTGTTTCCTCCAGTTCACTTATTTGTGTGTGATAAAGGGCATCAATCTGACACTGTCTGTCAGGAATGAGTGGGTGGGTGGGCAGATGGG